ATCTAACAACTTTTTAACACTGTCCACCTGTTCAGGCACTGTGAAAAGTAACAAAATCAGTGAGCATAGGGAAATAAAAGTGAGCATAGCACATTTAGTTGTTTTTTTTATGCGACTGTATGATGAATTCGAAGTCGAGTCATAATTTTAATACATTGTTAATGATCTGAGTAGGAAGGCAGTGGTCTTAGGCGGTTCACCTTTTGTGGATTGGACGGAGAGCCACAGTTGATAGTCTAAAGAAAGGAGAGAAAAGGAATGCAAAAGACGATGAACAATGTATGTGGGGTTGAAGATCCCCCTTTTAGCCTTGCTTGTGCGGGTATATATATCCTTGACACCAGGCAGTAGAGTGGTTAGTGTTAGTTCTAGGGTTAATGGTTATTGATGGTTTGACAGGTGGGTAGATCCGGCTCTCAGATTGTAGATTTAGCTGGTGATGAGATTGACAACGGCTATGTTGAGGGACTGTAGCAAAGTGACAGCGAAGATGTTCGGAATAGGTACAACAGATACCAAAGCTTGTGTAGGTTGAATAAGATAAAATGTCTTGTAGAGGTTCAAAATTTCGTATATTTTTTACCCATACGTTAACAATTGAAAGAATGGACAACAATCAAGTAGCATATAACTATGTATATCTGACTCTTCATTGTTCTTGAAATACCCGTGTTTGACATGTTCAACTCATATCCGACTATGGATATGGGATATGTATGACCCTCCGAATATGTGAAAAATCTCAGAAAATACCATGTCGGATTCATAACCGTATCCGACACAAACACCCAACATATATCCGACTATGGATATGGGATATGACTCACCAAATATGTGAAAAAGCTTAGTAAATACCATGTTGGATTCATAACCGTATCCGACACAAACACCCGAGTCCGTGTAACATTGGCATATAACTCAGACCACTGACTTCTCTCCATGTACTTTACGACATCAATTAATTATATTTACAGCCGACAAGAACAGGAAAAGTAATAAATGCACCATAACTTATTCAAACACTTCCATGCAATAACAGTTCTTTTTGGCACAAAGGAAGTCATGTTTACTTAGTTTTACCTGAACTTTTGTTGTACATCTCCACTATGCTGAGTCCGGATTCAGTCATTACCAGATGGTCACCGGTAAATAGAATCTTAAGCGACTTATGAAGCAGGCAGACAGATCCCTGCAACAATTTACAAAATGAATAGTTATGAGCTTTGTTCATCTCAAACCGTTTGAGAAACTTCTGAGATATCCACTTACTTCTGTGTGACCTGGAGTGTGTATAAGCATAATGTCGTTTCCGAGGCTCCATGGACCGTTCCCCTTTAGCTTTATCTCCACATCAGAAGTACAAACTTCTACCTACAGAGATGATAAAAAATGGAAGTAGCACGTTAGCTTCAAATTCGCATTTATGGCCCAACTAGTGTTCGATATAAATATATGCAGTGACAAGTGACAACCGTTCATTGCCATTTCTAGCCCTTAGATAGTTGAATGCGAAATTTTCTACAGAAAAGTTGCTACATAGAAGTGGAGTACAACATGCTTGCTGCTAAGCTTGATCCAAAGGACGGCTCTTATGAAAGAAAAATCAGTTGCCGTATTCTAGGCTATTAGTAAACTCAATTTGAGCTCTCCATTATATTGCTATTGCAGAGAACAATATAGATTATGAATAGAAGCTAGTTGCCAATGGGTTAATATATTTGAAGTTGAAAATTCTGAAGGATTTAAGTACATATAAGGTATCAAAGCAAGTATGACAATGTTTCTGTCTTAAAGATATGAAAATGCATATCAGAGGTTAAGGATGATGAAACTAACATCTTCAGAGTGCAGAATTCGATCACAGCTAAACCGCTTTGACCACTTCCCATGATCTGCAACATCATCCCTGACCATAACAACATGGATCAGAATCTTTTTTTCCAAAAGAAAAGTAAATAAAAGATATAAATTTACTAACGTACTTGTGTGTTAGAAACATATAGCGCACCCCACCCAGCATCTCGATCTTCCTCGCAAGTTTCTCTGTGAATCTCGGGCTGCAGAGAATTAATTTAGCCATGTTAGTTCAACCTCAATTGCTGATCTCCAACACGGATCTGTATTAGATACGAGTATGTTAAAACTTTTTCTATTTATTTGGAAGGTACTTTGAGGGTCATGTCCCATTCACATGTCCGGGAATATGTTGGACATAGGTGTCGTATACTTAACAAAAATGAAAAGTCGGAGCAATACAGCACCAAATACTTGTGTCGTGATAGTTTGCAGTAGATTTTTCTAACAAGAAAAGGTATAATATTTACCTATCTATAAGTAAATTTCCTTCAGGATGAATGATCAAGAAGGAAGCAGCTCCGTATGATTTCTCAGAATGATATCCACAATGATAAATACCCTGAAAATAATCATATAGCCGTAGTGATTAGGCTGTTAATCCCACGACATATAATACAAAAAACGCAGTCTTAAAAATACAGTAAAGGAATGGCATGAGTTACAGGAAGTTTCTTTTCGTCTACTGGAATCGGAAATGTGTTCTGAGCTTCTAGGATATCGGTAGGAGGTTCTTCGGTACGGATTGAACTTGTTGGACAAGAAAGCAACGCCTGAAAGTATCAACAGTCTATGATAACATTCATGGTTCTTCTGTAATATATACCTAACTAACATATCTAATTAATAAACCAATTGTATGATAATTGATACAAACAGAAATGAGAAATGCAGAAAGGCATTCAACTGTATGGATGCGTCAAATACGAGAACAAGAACCGGAAAAATGGTACCTGGAGAGCCTTGAGCCGGTCCTCACTGGAAGTTGGCTGTTTATAAACTGCAGACATTTCACTAACTCTTGTGAAGACTTGCTGAAACAAACAGAAATAAAGAACATTAAAGTAAGAACTAAGAATACGATTATTCAACAAAGGGAAAAGAGATAATAGATAAGCTGAAGAAGATGATGAATAGTCGAGATTTGAGAGAGAATATGATCTCAATCTTTAACTTGTTGATTCTCTCTTTCCCTTTACTGAACAATCGTTTACCTGATCACTCAGTTCTCAATGCATCAAGAAACTTATATCAATTAGCAGTAAGCTGACATTCATCTTATTTAAAATAAATAAATAAATGAATATGAACAAAATTTATATATTTAGTTAATAAGCGAATGAATATGAACAAAGTTGTGTTCAGTTCGTTATCCGATTCTCATTTTCCTTTTAATTTTTATATTTTAAATATTAGTGAATGTAAAAACTAAACTTAACACTAGGTGAATTTTGAAATTCAAATTATGAAGCTTACAGGTAAGGAGAGAGTGTTGATTGCCGATGGGTCTCGAACCATATAAAAAACATGTTTGAGAATGTTATAAACAAACAGATTAGTGAATGATAAACAAACTCAACACGAAGATCTTTAAAAATAACAAACAAATATAAACAAGATAGCAAAAATTATACAAATATGAACAAGACAGACATAACACTTTTTAAAATAAATAAAGGAATACGAAAATTTGTTCATTCAAATCCAGTTCATTTACACCCCTAAACTTGATTGATGAGTAATTACCGGCGCCATCCATCGGCAAGTATCACAATCTATGCAGGTATGATCTGCAAAACAGATTAACAATCAATACCAAAATTATCTTTATGACCCTTTAATTAATGAACTCATCAAAGTAACAATTTGCCACAAATTACAGTAATTTTCTGGGAAATTAATCAAATAATGATATTTACCTACAAAGAAATCTCCATCGACATTCTGGGGTCGTCTCTGTCTAACCCATTTTCCAGTTTCTGATTCCACAGCCGGGCTTTGAACTGCTTTAACCGATGAATTTCTCCACACCCTTGATTTCATTTGAGCTCTGCTTGATGAATCCTTCGGCTTAACAACTGAAGAAGGAATAACTGAGCCAATGCTTGCAAGATTGATAGCTTTGTTCATGAAAACCATGGTGAATTTTCCTACTCTCTCTTTTTTTTTCCCAAGAAGAAAGATAAAAAGTATGGATTTACAGACGTTGAAGAGTGTACGTTGAGTATTGAAATTGAGTTTGGTATCTGTTAATGTTGACTTAAGCAATGAAAATGAAGTGGATAAAGATTGAATTGAAGCCAAAATGTTGAATAATTGTGGAAAGATTGTGTAAGCAGAGACTGAAATGTGTGAAAGTCCAGCTGAAAGAGAATGATTTGGTAAGCAGTGATATCATCACTTCATTTGTCTTCTTCCTTTTCCTTGAAACAAGAGCTTTGTATTGAATGAAAAAAAATACTTTGTATTGGTTAAATTCTCTGATTAATCCCATATCCTATGGATTTAGTCCTCTATTCCAAGTTTATCAATTTTAAACCCATTCTTTTCAAATTTTAGTTTGATTCAATCCTTTTTACATAATAGGAATTCTATAGAGAATTAGAGAGACATCGATAAAAATTTAAGCATTTTTTTTAATTTCTATTAATTTTAAATTGTTTTATCCTTTCTAATGTTTAATATTTATTCCGGTAACATGTCATGCTACTCCATCAAATGATAAGTAGAGAAATTTGAAGGCTTTAGTTATCGATGTTTTTTTTATTTAAATAGTTTAAGATGATTAAAAGATAGTATTTGTTCAAATTTTTTTAACTATTAATAATACACATTCTGATCAAGTTGTTTAAATTTAAAACCTTTAAACTGAATAACATTCCTTTAACCATTAAGATGACTTGATAAGTTTAATTATCGATTAGAATTATCTTGTGTTTCTTCTTGCTGTAGACAACATATATGTGCTCTTGTTTCGAAGTATCTAGAGTTTAATTTATATAAGTCAAGTGTGGTTTAGGATGCTTTAAATGAAAAATAGGTGTCTTAAATTTTGGGTCAGCCAAGTTGGGCCAAGTTTAGGCCCAATTTATGCCATAAAAATAGCATAAATCCTCGCCTTTAAAACCATAAAACCTCCGAGACAAAAACCCAACATTTTTTCTTAAACCCTAGCAAACCCTCTCGTTTCTCAGCTCAGTTTCCATGGCTTTCGCTTCGATTCTCCGCAAGTCAGCCAACTCGTTGGCTCCACTCGCGATTCGAATCACCCGAGTGCAAAGAAATTACCACTCCTGCATCTTCACGGCTTTGAGCCAAGGATTACAGTCCCAGCAACTGGCCGTTAACCGGTTTTTCCCGAATACCTTTCGTTTCTCGTCCGCCGCTGCTTCCAGGAAACCCTCTTCTGATGAGTCTCTCATCCGAGTTCTCGAGTCTGAGATTCAGTGTGCTGAGGAGGAGGATGGCGCTGGTCAGGTGACTAACTATTTTGCCTTCTTTAATCGTTTTGTTTTGTTTTGTTTTGTTTTTGTAATTTCAGTTTCATTTCTTTTCTTTTTTTACTAAATTTGGTGTGAAGATAAGAAAATGTGAGTTTTTATTTTAATTATCTGTTTAGTTTGGGTTTTAATTCTTTTTCATAAAAACTTGAAAAGGATTGCAGCTTTGTTCAACATTCATTAGCTGAACATACTAATATAGAATTATGCTTTCATTTCCAACTGAGAACATAGGGGGGGGAATTGTGTATGTTTCATGGTTTTGGGTTTTGATTCTTTGAAATGAAAATGATCATATATCAAGTTGTTTAATCACAGGTTGAAGGACCTCCAAGCGGGTTCCCCTTTGAAATTGAGGATACCCCGGGGATTCAAACTGTAACATTGATGAGAGAATACGATGGTGAGCTCATAAAAGTCGATGTCCACATGATTGATCACGGCAATGAAGAAGAGGAAGGTGAAGACAATGAAGGGGATGACTATGAAAAAGAAAACAATATAAGCATCCCATTGGTTGTTACTGTTTCAAAGAAAGATGGTACAAGCTTGGAGTTCAACTGCACTGCTTCACCCGATCAGATTGCGATTGACAGTTTGGGATTTCGAGGTCCCAACCCTGAGGATGAACTTGCCTATGAAGGCCCTGATTTCCAGTAAATTTTATTTTTCTCTTATAGTTTGTGTAAATTTGTCATATTTCATGAGAAAGTTTGGGGTTCTGATTGGTTTTCATTGCGATTTTTTTCGTATTTTCAGTGATTTGGATGAGAATTTGCGAAAGGGTTTTCATAAGTATTTGGAGATTAGAGGAATCAAGCCAAGCACTACAAATTTCTTGCATGAGTACATGATGAACAAGGATAACAGAGAGTATGTCAACTGGTTGAAGAATCTCAAGAAATTTGTTGAAGCATGAAGGGTTTAGAGATTTGTTAATGGTAGTTTAAGAAGAAAAACAAGCATTTTGCAGGTTATTATTTGAACTAAAATGACAACATGCAGACTGTTTTAAATTTCTGGTTCAAAGATTTTTGCTTTGAGTGGAATATTGTTTACATTTAAATAAGAATAGGAACTGTTTGTTCAGGTGATATATTTAGCAGTGAGTTGAAATAGTGTTTTAAACCCTTGTTTGTTACTTCTGACTAGGGATGAGCAAGAACACAGAAACTGATAGGTTATGACCTAATCCGATCCTATAAGGTTGGATTTTTTAGAATATAGGTTATGACCTAATCCGAAACTGATTCACTGGACTCTTTGGAAATTGAATTGTCTAATGATCTTCCGTGGTTGATTTCATCTCTCCTCCAATTGAGTCTTTCTCTGTTGTTTCCTGGTTTGTTGATGTCTTCAATAAACTTGAAAATGTATCTATTTGCATTGCATATCTTGTTACTTTTGATTCTGTTGCTTGTTTCCTTTCTGTTCATCTTCCGTCTTTGTTATATCATTCTTCAATCCCGAGTCCTTCGTCGGTGGTTGGTGGTGATTTATGAAGAAGATTAAAAGCTTTTTTTTACTTGGGTTGGATCGAAATGGTTAAAAATCCTTTCTGTCCTGTCTTTCTTGCACATCTCTATTTTTGGCATGTCACTGTTATTGCAACACGGAGGATTCAGATAGTTTAAGAATTGTATAACAAATTATTACGCTGGAAAGTCTTATGAAAAAAATTATCAAACCCTAGTTTCTAATTTGAAAACATAAGATCGAAGCATAGCATTAATAGTATAACATTAAGACCCTGAGCTAAACACTCCTATCGCATAAAAAAAACAGCAGCTTCAGCCATTCTTTTCCCCCTTAGCATTTTAGGGTTTTTCTGGCACATTTTTAAGAATCAACAGGTATGTCTTTGTGGGTGTAAATGACCCCCTTATCACCATCCACCACCTGCCCACTTCCTTTCAGAATCCTGTGTCCGAGGGGAAAGGTACGACGGAATCATAATCCGGTATGATAAATGAAGATTCTTCGAAAATGACGTACAAATGCATGTGAAAAGAATATATGCAGAATAGCGTGGTGGATAAATGATCTTTAATAGATCCATACCATCTTGTTGTTAACAATCCTTCAACTCCGACCGGACCCCGAGCATGAATCCGACTCGTACTTATCCCAACCTATTCGGTTATCGAATAAAAGAATAAGCAAATACTTGACTAATGAGCTTGAACATATTAAAAAGGTTCTGAAACTGATAGATACAATACCTCAGCGCCTAGACCAAACCGAGCACCATCGCAAAATCTCGTGCTTGCATTGTGGAAAACAGCAGCACTGCTCATTCAAGTACACAGGATATATTACATTTTGACAACTGGATGTGAAAGCTGGAAAATTAATGTCTTACCTGTCAACTTGATGCAGGAAGAGTTCTGCAGTTTCTCGGTCTTCGGTAACGATACAGTCGGTATGCGCACTGCACAAGGGGGAAAATGAAGGTAATTCATGTCCATCTGCTCATGGAAACATAGGAGCATTCAGCGACACAGAAAAGCAAACAAGGGAGAATAACATGCCTGCCATGTTGATGGATATGATCGACAGCCGCAGCCACGTCATCCACTATTTCAACAGTGCATTCCATTGAATTGTATTCATGGTGAAATGAGCGTGCTTGTGGGATATTCAATATGGTACTTGCTCTTGGCCCACCATATAAATTAACACCTGCAAAAGATCAGCAATTAGCTCGTTAACTGCACCATATACTAATATGTAAATTTAATTGCAACGTACCTTGTATACGAAGATCGACTATTAGCTCATTAAGTGCACCATTTTGCACTAAATCCTTGTGGACAAGAAGAGTTTCCTGCCAAAGTAAAAGAGAATCATTAAAAACGTATGCAACGTGCAGAACAAAATATGAAAATATTCAAACAAAATAGAACCTCAAAGAATAAATTTAGGATATAAATTGACAGATGAATGTTAAATTACCATTGCATTGCAAGCAGCTGGATAATCGATTTTTGCATCCAAAACAATCCGCTTTGCCATATCCATATTAGCAGACTTATCAACATATACATGGCAAATTCCATCTGATACATACAGCATACACTCATCACATGAGAAGCGGGCAGACAAATATAGGCAGACTTGGGTAAAATATAAGACCCATATTTCAGGCCGAGATGGATTCAGGCAAGTATGAAATGTGTTAATACTCAATATAAGCTCAGCTCAAATCCAACCCAGCCTATCAACACCGCTACATTCATATAAGACAAAAGTAACCTATCTAACCTGCATGAAAAAGAACAGGAATCTTGGTTGAACTCTTGATTTGAGAAACAAGTTTGTTGCTGCCTCTTGGGATCACAAGATCAATCACATCATTGAGCTGAAATATAAATTTAATGTCGAGTTCCAAATTAAACCGTAAACTGTTGTTGTAAAGTATCATTCTACTGATTCATCACTAACCTTTAAAAGATCAGGAATCTCATCTCTTGAAGTCACAAGTCCAAAAACTTTACCCCCAACAGTGTCTGGAATGGCTTCAGTTATTACCCATGAGTTCAAAAGGAGGTGATACAATACCAGAAAAGAAAAACAGACAAGAGTACATTTAAGAAAACTCATTTTAGAATCCAAACCTTATGCAAAATAGCATTTGATCGCTTGGCCTCCTTTCCCCCTTTCAAGAGAAGTCCATTACCACTTCGGATAGCTAACGAGGCTATCTATTCAAATCATGCATAAAGCCACGAGTATATTCAGAAACAGAAGCATATAAATTCACTAGGCAAACAAGAAATAGCTTTTGGCTCCATCTCATAAAATGCAGATAGCATTTTTCTGCCTTGGTCAAGCCAAATCAAGATTTAACATACAAGGAGATACGAACATACGTCGACCTCAGTAATTAAATAATTTATTTGAACATTCTTACTCACACCAGTACCACAGAGAAACAGTGGAAATTGTAGTCCTATTTATTTACCTGTACAAGCGCATCAGGTCGGGATTCAAAAACAATCAAAAAAACACCCAAAGGACTTGATGTTTTTTCTAAAGTAAGTCCATCAGCAAGCTGGATACAAAGACAGCCATTAGATAACTATTTGTTCAAAAAGTTGAAGCAATTCTGTTGATAAGAAATTTGGCTAAAATCAAACATAGTTTTGGTCTGTTACATAATCCTCTCAACCCTCAAAAGGGACCTTTTGTTGGCCCAATTTTTTTTAAAGATTTAGAAATTAAACCACCATATTTCAGACCAAATGAACCTCCAGGAACTTCATACAAAAGAGGAGTGCAGCTAGGGGATGAAATTCTTTGTCCGTTTTGTAAGGAAAAAGTGGAATCGGTGCAACATTTATTTATTTCGTGTGTTGTAGTTTGGGAACTATGGAATAAGATAGTAAGCTTTTGGGATATAGCTATGGTTCTTCCAAAGGACCCACCTTCTTTGCTCAGTTCTTGGGGTGAACTGAGGGGGAAATCGTTGATTTGGAAATTTATTCCGGGAGTAGTATTTTGGTCGATTTGGAAAGCTAGGAATGCAATGGTGTTCGAAGGTGCTCCCCTTGATAGGATGTCTCTGTTTTTTATTGCTAGATTCAGGTTATCTAAATGGTTTCTAGCCAAGTACCCTAAGTTTCCTATTCAGGAGGATGTGCTGATTGGTGATCCATCTCTTGCAGACGGTATTAAGGCTCTTAATCCTAAGAATGTTCAGGGGATTCGCTGGTTCCCACCCCCTGTTGATTTTTTGAAGATGAATGTTGATGGAGCTGTTAGACTTGATGGCACAAATGGAGGTATATGAGGTAGTTTGAGAGACTGGAACAGCAACTCTCTTCTGACTTTTTCAGAAAATATAGGTCAAGGTCCCCCTCCGGTTGCTGAGTTAAAGGCTATTAAGAGAGGAATTGAAATCTCTATGTCTTCTTGTTGGGTTACTGTTGGAAGGTTGATTGTGGAAAGTGACTGTAAGTCGGCTGTGGAATGGATATTGACCCCAACTTTGGCCCCTGTTTTTATCCTACCTTTAGTTAAGGAGATTTCATCACTCATCTCGGTTAGGGTGCACTCAGTTAGATGGATTCCAAGGGCGTGTAATGGGGAGGCTGATGTTTTAGCAAAGATGGGAATTGGTTGATTGTTAGGCATTATCAGTGGGTTTTATTGTTTGAGTTTCTAGGTTTTTGGTTGTTACTTGAGTGGTTAAGTTTGTTGTGTTTTTCAGTTTGGAGTTTCTGTTTAATATTATGTAAGTTTGTATGAGTAATAAAATTTTTAAGGCACTCTCCCTCCCTCTGCAGATTAAGGAGCTGATTATCAGGCTCCGTTAATCAAGGAGGAGGTTTTTAATGAGGCCTGTTATTCCTATAAAAAAAAAACATATAAACTACCTCTTTCTTACCTGTGTTTTCTTTAAAACACATCCAATTGGGTCTTCCATGTTAGCAAGCACACGAATTGACTTTGTAAGGCTCGAAATCTGTGGAGTACAAGGGGAAAATTTGATAATGAGGAAAAAGATCACAGCCATAAATTTATCTGAGAAGGCACAAGGTACAGTTGGAATTTGATGCAGAAGTTTTCAATCTGCTTTTGGCATTTGAGGACATGGTCACGGCTGAGAGGTAACAAAACAGTAACAGTAATCCAAATTCAATAAGCAAAACTCAGCAGAAATAGATTTAGCATTCAACCTTCCCAGGCTTCAATGCTAGCCGAGAAATCAAGGATTTTTCATATCCAGCCTCTTGTGCAGCAGCAACATCAGCTTCATTCTCAACGGTGATCAAATTTTCATTTGCTTCAAGAGCATCAGCTATGTCTAGTAAAATCTTTTTCCGCTCTTGGGAGGACAGTGCCTGAAGACCAAATGACATTAATTTATTTTTCTACTAGCCATGAAGGTATATCTGACCGTCAACATCAGATATTGGCAGCCAGCACCACAACTCAAGGAAG